ATGCGTAGTAGAACCCTCCGAGGGTGGGGCTGGGGTGCCCACTAGCTCAGGCACCCCTATAGTCACCAGAATGGAGGTGCACAGTCAGCAAGGGACCAATGAACAGCTACCAAAAGAGAAGAATGTCCATCTCCCCCACGTGGTCTCACCCAAGATGGCGGCTCCTGGAGCAGCCGAGCGTCCTGGACTAGAAAGTAATAGATTTCTTGCTTCTGCCACAAATTCCCCCAGCTGTGATCCTTTCAACCTTCTAAGTATTCCTTTATATGTGGTTCAGAATTCTGGGACCATGCCCTGAGCCTGCTTGGTCGGGTATTCTGCGTTGTTGTTGGCGGAGCTCTCTGCTATACATCCACCCGATCCGCCATCTTGTTTGTTCTCCATCGAAACATGTTTTGCTTCTAATAAACCCACACATACAGGAACTGGAAGGCTAGTAATAATACTTTTTTACTTACCCTCAAACATTTTCATAATGTTACTTTATTTTGCTTGCACTGAAACAACTGGATGATCTGGTATACAAAATGAACTATCATTAGAACCATATATGCTTTTAATTGTTTTGACTTGTTGGTGATAAATTTGCATTCTTTTATTAATGCTCCTACCTACTGATTCTTTGTAATGTGGTGATGTTGTTGTTGTTATGAGTTGGTTCTAACTCTTACTCAAATATTTTTCACCTCAAGTTTATACTCTTCTATGTAGCCTGGCTTATGAATCTTGTATGTGATGTAATATCATGTTTTTGTACTACTAGTACTATGAAATGATAAGTTGGGTTTATATGTTTGTATTTATTTGCTTTTCATACTTATTAGTATTGCCTACTTCTGACATCCTGTGTACATAAATGTTGGAGAATGCAATGTTGAGAAGATCATGGGACTTTCATTCAAAATTTACACAGCCAACAGCCACAATGTTGTTGAAATCCAACTGCTGTTTTTCTTTGATAATGCCGTGTTCCATTTGATGAGACCCAGAGGATAAACCATAACTGTTGTTGTTAAGGGCATCAAGTCAGTTTCAACTCATATATACAGGGTTTCTGAGGCTATAAATCTTCACAAGTGCAGAAAGCTTCATCTTTCTTCTAAAGATTGACTGGTGGGCTCAAACCACCAACCTTGTGCTTGGCAGTC